ATACCACAATTGTTTAGCACACGTTTGGTCAAAGGATCGGCTTCACTTGTCTCTTTGACGAGTTGGTGTGGTGCTAAGAATGGGGAGACTTACTGACGATGCCGACTACGATACCAGCGAAGCGTCTGGGAATGTACCACATCCACGGTCCTACTATGGAAGCGATCATGCATAAAATGGACTCCTTTAAGTCTTCCTACCAATATTACCAAGTTGCGAAAACAAGGTCAAACAACTTCTATACAGCGAAATGAGTGTAACCACACAAAAGGCCACACCATCTTGGTCTTCATACCATCGATAAATACGTAATGATTTAAAGAGATACAGTTCAATATAACGTGCAACCAAAATAATTTCATTGATATAGTGAATTTAAAAGAACAAGGAAATAACGCTTCAGAAGAGATAAATATAAATATCCACCACGTAAAATGTATTATAAGATTAAACGATGGTATAAAAAAGAACTATGTAAAAAATTATCTGCCAGACCTGCACTTATATGCATCGAATGGCACAAGCGTAGTGATCTGAAGTTAAGAGTATAACTTAAAGAAATTATCCAAAAATAAAAAGACGAAAGTAAATTTTATAATTTATTGGAAACAAGTTACGTTGTTGAGACCGATCTTGGCCTCCTTCCATACACAGCCTCCAAGGCATCTTCAATGAGTGGGTAGCGAAAGTGAAATCCAGCTGCCAATGCTTTGGTAGGAAAAGCGCGGTGGCCCTCAAGAGCCATGCTAGCCCGATCCTTCCCTAGCATAAGATAAACCAATAAAGCAGGTACTCGAAATCGACCAGAAAAGGGTGCACCGACAGCTTCTGAGAGTGAAACTGAGAAAGTGCTTTGTCGGACAGGATTAGGAGAACACACATTTATGGGCCCATTAGGTAGCTTGGTATCGGGATTAAGGATAAAAGTAATTAGATCCACAGCATCATTAATGTAAATCCACGAAATCCACTGCTGTCCAGACCCAATAGGCCCACCGAGTCCCAATTTATGGCTGAGAAACAGTTGGTTTAGAAAAGGAGAATGCATTCCGAGGACAATGCCGAATCGGAGAAAAAAATAGTTTATGTC